TTTTGTTCATATAGTATATGGAATGTGGCAGTTCCCGCTACTTAAATTAATATGCTTAGCACAAAAAACAGTTGTGAAGATGTGGCCAGGGCTGTATAAAGAAAGTAATTAGCCATTTAGCAGAGAGACCATGGACAAATGATCTATATATGAACCTGTACACTAGCAGCCCTAGACTGGCCACTGGGCAACTTTGGCAAATGTCTGACTGCAGGGGCATAATCTATACACCAAAATGGCTTCATTAAGCTAATGTTGTTTTGGTGACTATAGTGTCCCTTTAACTTATAATAAGCTTCATGTATATTTAAACAATAGCATGCATTATACAATGCATTAAGACAATTATTCCATTCCTTCACACCATTCAGTGGTTGGTAAATTCAATTCATCTTGTAAATGAGCAAAACAAGTTAAATGTTCCCATTTATTCAATTGGAGATCCTCTCCAGCCCTTTATCAATCCAAACCAGCAAATTGATTTCTTTCATTAAATTCGGCAATATATGTAACGGTAAAAAAGGTATTATCTTTTCTTTTAGACTAATCTTATTTCTGAATAAAAACCAAGCTGTAAAAATCTGTTTATTTACTAAAGAGTTTGAGTGCTTAATAGATTGAATATCTTATTTTCTAACCAGCCATATTTCTTTTTCATAAAAGCAGTAATATTGTTCCAACATATACCAATTATCTTCCTAGAGTAATTTTAATTAAGACTATTAATATATGTGCTAATAAATTTGCCAGTGCAGTATCTGGAAATGTTCCCTTTTAAACTAGGACTGTCACTTTCCTAGAAATTACACCATTGAATAAAAATCCACAATAACTTGTGCTTATTTTTGTGAAGGCCTTCTTTTAAAATGTATGTCAAATATTTACCAAGTGACATCACAATGATTCCAGTACAGAGCCAGACTGCACACTGCAAATGAGGTGGGGAATAGACAAGTGCAATTTGTTTCGAATGTAAATTCGGATGAATTTCGAGGAATTCAGAAATTCGGATGCTTACGAATGTACGAAGTGCCGAAGTGCCGAACGGAACCGAATTGCCGTAGTCCCGAATTGCCGAAGTTCCAAAATGGGTTAGTGTTAGGCTCCGAAGTTCCGAATTGCCGAAGTCCCGAATTTCGGAAGTGCCGAACCGAACCAAATGCCATTGGTCCGAATTGCCGAAGCAGACACATTTTTTTTCCTTAGCTGAATTTCCGAACTGAACCAAATTTTTTGCCCATGCACATCCCTAGTGGAGAATAGAATCAATCAATATAGAGATTTGCTGTGGTGTTCTAAAAAGTGGTATAAAGTACTAAAGGTAGGCAAGCACCGTGAATACCAGCACATGCCATTGGTAGCTCCTCCCCTTTTAATTTTTTTCCACCAAATGTTAGAACTGTCATTGTTTTAGTTTCTCTTCTTCCACAAACTATGGTCAATGGCAGAAACTTGTAACATTTATAATGATGACTAATAGGTTATCCAAGATGGAGGCACCCAGTTCCAAGGTATATGTTATTTAAACAAAATTATTTCAGATATCACCAACCATATATTTGCTAAATACAGGAGACAATTTGAAAAAAAACTGACAGTTTCCATCTAATTATATTGTGCTGTTTTTTTTTGCAACACAGACATAACAGACAATACCTGATACACAGATATTTCTCATCGAAGCCTAGTATGTAACTTAAGCCTATAGTCTGGTTCATTAACGCTTAATATTAGCATTTAACTATGATTTTTATCCTGGCATCTACCCTATTCCACTAGCTTTTGCTGTCTGTTAAATATAATTCCTTCTTAACAGATGCCTTCTTTTTCTCTTTCTCATTTTTTTTCCTAACACAGTTGTTCTTCTGTACTTGATAAAGTTTAAAATAAACACGTCCCGGGGTGAATTGCAGACATTACAATTGGATTGGCATCTAAACCGTGGAGCAGTTGGTGCCTTGGCGCCAGGGGACTGAAAACAGCAGGTTTTTGCTGGAGGGGACAACCACGTTATTTCCCTCTTGGTCAACAACAAGTAAGCAGATGTCCTAGAATTATTATTTTACCTTCTAGTAATTTTGCCTCTCTTATCCTCATAGGTATGTGACTGCCTCCTTCACAGATGTGCAGGTGTGCCTTTCTGATCCTGTGTCTTCAGCGCCATCTGCTGCTCATTATTGTTGATACATACATTTAGAGAAATATGCCCTTTTATTAAAGACAAATAAAAAATAAATTGTTAGTATACAAAAACATTGAAGCATGTTTCCATATTAAATAATAAAATTACTTTCAGAAAACAAAAACTATGTTATGGTAGAGAACAAATGATTAGAAATCAATCTTATGTTATTTTAAGGGTAAGTGACCAAACTCTAGCCTCTTGTGGTAGTGGAGCATTAGACATCATATGACTCACTTTAAAAATGTTGACATTGAAATGATGACTTTAAAACTGACAGAGTTATACGCTAAAGTGAAAACTATTAGGAATTCGGTTCTGGGGCAGCAGGTGGGGCTGTCGGTTAAAAACAGGGGGACATCCTAGGATCCCCGTAGTCCCTGCCCCAGGTTGCAAGTGGGGGCTATAACTAAGTATAGGGGGCATCCCAACATCCCCCAGTCATGGGTGGCGGGTGCAAACAATGTTATTCTTAATAAGGTGAGCGGAAATGCTATTTTCCACTCCCTTAAAACAAAAGGTTGGATGGGGAGTGGACATGCTACAGTCCACCACCTAACCATGAAGTTCAAGTATGAGGATATTAATGACAACAGGAAAGTGGAATTGCCATCGTTCACCATGTCAAAAGTGTGCCTCTGTTCATCACCCCTAAACAAAACTCCCCAGTTTGGGCTGGTTTCCCCAACAGACCACTGAGGCCATGGCGTGGGGCGGCAAGTGGTAGAGGGGCGGGATCACGGCCAGCCCAATGATATTGCAGTACACTGGGAAATTCAATGGGGGTCCATACTATGTAATTAATGGGCTGACCGAGTAATAAACTGATGTGAAGCTTACTTGCGCCTATTCCTGAGTTCCACAGTCTGTTTGGCCTCCCAAACTTGTTTTGCATTTTGAAATAAAATTAATTTAGAAGAAGCAAACTTATTGGGAGAAGAAACCTATCACTTTTGCCAGCAACCGCGGGGCAGACGCCGCATGCCCCCCCAACCCCTGCACGGAAGCTTTTGCTGTTCCACAATCACTATATGGACTGTAATGTCCATAGGGGCAGAGAATGAAGCTCTGTGGTGCTGTGAGTCACACCAGCCTGCATACCTGAGGGGCTACAGTGCCCAGTCGCGTGGAGGGCAGTAGTAGGACCTACATACCGTGACGCTTTATGAGATGTCACACACCCGCTGGTTTCATCGACAAGCCTGGGACATTCTCACTCCAGCCCTGGGACACTCTTGAGCAGCATTACTCCATCAGTACACAGGACAATCACTGCATGCCTTAAGGGGAGGGGAGGTCTCCTGTGATCTTCACTCTCAGTAAATGCTCACCAACATCTTACAGTTCCTGTTCTATTATATCTTGCTAAATTCTCTCAGTGCAAAAGCTCTGCTTACTCACTCGCTTCTTGTGTAAACTTACTGGGTTAGCTACACTGGGTTAGCTACATCTTGTTTCAAAATACAAAAACTGTGCTGTTTCCTACCTATATATATTGTCTGATAGCTAAGACACTATTGCTTAATGTATATTGGTTGATATGTACTCAGCACATCAAAAATAAAGAATAAAAAATATAAAAATAAAAATAAACAGGCAATTACCCCCATTTACAAACACATATAGACAATCTCCCCCATATACACAGTCATATAGACAATTACCATTATATACACATGCATACATACATTTTCCCCAATATACACATACATACACACATACAATCACCCCATATACACATGCATACAGACAATAACCCCCATATACACATGCATAGAATCGTCTCTATATACACATGCATACATTTACCTCAATATACACATATAAACATGCATACATACAATCACCCACATATAAACATGTGATACAATACCACTATATACATATGCATAAAATCACCTCCATATACACATGCATACATATAGTCACCCCCATTTACACATATGTACAATCACCACTATATATGCATACAGACTATCACCCTCATATACACATCATGCATACAGACAATTGCCTCCATATATACATGCATACTTACAGTCACCCCCATTTACACATATGTACAATCACCACTATATATACATACAGACTATCACCCTCATATACACATCACGGATACAGACCATTGCCTCCATATACACATGCATACAATCACCAGTATTTACACATTCATGCAATTACCGCCATATTAGCGTGACCACATTTCCTAACTGCAATTCAGGGACACTGACTTTCACGGGTGCATTTCATTAAATTAATACTTGAGACTGGCAAAAACAAATCTACAAGTGCAGTTTTCAGTATTTCTGCAAACATTAATTGGATACTTAAACATATCTTAAGAAATGGAAAAAGAAAACAAAACAAGTTGCATTAAAGTCAAGTTTTTTTTCTTTTCTTTTTTCTTAGTGAGCAGGAACTTTAAAAAAAATATGAATAATTTACCTACCATAAATAACAGACTGCAACCCAATTTCACATATTTCTTAATGTATAAATAACCAATATATTACTCTACAATATATTTTTTGAAAATTAACAAAATACTAACAATACAGCAAATTAGAAAATTATCTCTGAAAATATTAATGCTGATTCTAGTTCAGCTCATCAAACTCTTCCATATTAGACCACATGGCACCAGCTCAGTATCTTTTATTTTAACAATAATTCCTAAATGTGTATTTCTTGTCACTTTTTTTATTTTGTTTTACAAAGCTGTAAACAGAATGACAGTCAAAATTGATTTTCACCTGAAGTTCGGATTTTATTAGCTCTATGCTACATCTATTCCTTGTGTTAGACCAGCACAACCCAATCATGCTGCATTTGAGCATGGAATGCTGATGACAAAAGCATCCACTTTCAAGAGATTTGGCAGTTTTTCAGGTCCAGCTTTCATGAATATTATTGACCATATAACATCAGTGTTGAGGTCATCATCCACTTCGGTACCGGTGGAATTTGTTTGAAGCTGTGGACAAACACAAGTATATTCTTCATAAAGGTCATCCATTGAAAAAGAGTCTTCTAAATTAAGACTTTCAACTGCTGCCAACAGGTTATCAAACATAAGGTTCTCCTTTAAATTTAAGCACTGATTTTTCGACAAATAGTTTTTGTCTGAAAAATCAAACCACTGGTTTAAATAATAAACAGCTTTTTCATAAAATGCTAGGAATTCGCATTCAATTTTCATTGCTTGCAGACAAGGTAGTTTCTTCAAAGCTTTCCCAACAAGGTATCCAAAAAAAATGGTCTGTCTGTATTTGGATTAGTTTGTCTCTCGCTGATGTCATGATCTCATAGACACCAGCTGCAATCAAATTATTTTTCTCCAATTTTAATATGGCTTCCTGAAAAATAGGCAAGCAGTTGTGTAAAAACTGAAGATATAACTCAGGAACTGTGGCGGGTCCAGTTCTGTGGTCTCACCGTCTTCATCCACAATAAATTGCCATATCACTTTAGGTGTTTCGTCCTCACCAATGCTTTGAAAGTAAGCTTTTACAGCTGGCCAATTTTTTAAAACTTTCTAGATTGCTGGATAAAGAGACAACCATCTTGTTGATACATGTCGAAGAAGTTCTGACCATTCAAGGTCAACAAAGTCAAACATTTCTTTCAGTGTGACAACTCTCTTGGCTGATATTGAGAAGTAATTATATAACTTCAAAATTACACTTTGCCAACTATATTATTAATGCTGCATATATTCTTGAACATGTCATCTATGTAAATTTATATTTTTTTTTTTAGATACTCTCTGTAATAATGATATTGTATTGCATATAATGTTATAAAACATAAAAAAAGTCAATAAAAAATATTTAGAAAAAAAAAATAGACTTTCCACGTCACAGTTTAAGACATCTGAAGCCTTTTTAGCTGTATTATGAAGTATATGAGCTGGACAGCCAGCTGGCAATATCAGATCATTTGTAGCATGAAGCTTCTGGTACACACCATTATGCTTACCAAAGTTCACACTGGCATTGTCAGCAGAATATGCAGACATCATAACCACAGATAGGCCATATGATTTAATCACATTTAAAATTTGCTCTGAAATTGCAGCAGCACTTTAATCACCTTCATAAAAACCCAACAAACTTGTTACCACACCTTTGGATGGCTTAAAGTAACGCAGAACTAAGGGAAAACGTTTGGTGTTTCCATGGTTAGATGCATCTGATCCAACACTAAAATAAGCACAGCTGTTTTTCAAGTCATTAACTATCATTTTTACACTGTAAGGAGCCAGCACATTTGTTACAATGGCTTCAGCTTTGGTACGACTACATGACATCTATGTGGCTTTAGCGGAATCCTTAAATAGAACAGGAAGAAGTTTCATGGTACAGTTCAAAGATATATATGAGTGACTGTGGCACATGGAATGGTAAACCATGATATTTCAGTGGCTATTAATTCCTCTTGCAGTGCCATATCCTTAGAGGGAATCATAAATTTGAAAAGCATGCCACTTTGTTTTGCAGCCCGATCAGCATTTTTGTGACTTTCACTAGACATGTGAATTTTGATGTCACCTTCACCACCATGACCAATTCCAAACTCTCGCTTACACTGAGTACAATATGCTCTATGAACGTTACTAGTCACTGTTGTTATGCAAGTGTAAGTTGTTTTCCATGAGTCTCAGAATCGGCAAATTCGCTTTATCTTTTTTTATTTTGCTGCTTCGGAAGAAGTCGAAAACTCAGATATATTCCACTGACTTTGGACATGTGCATCATGTTTGTTTTTTTACTGTAGATGAATTAAAGGTATCGCGCTAACTCCTTAAATTATCTGCAGAATTTCGACCGGTCATATTTGGAATTTTCTCTTAAAGGGAAACTATAGGCTAGAGAGAGCCTCTCACAGCGCATAAAGGGTTAAAAACCCTTAATTCACTTAACTGAATCCAGCGACGATGTCCCTCATTGCTGGGTCAGGCTTCTCCTCCCCAACATAGGGGACGTAATGGGCACGCATTAGGACAACCCTATAGGAAAGCATAAGATCAATGCTTTCCTATGGGATTCTAGCTGATGCTGGCTGTCCTCATGCAAGTGGTAGTGGTAGACAACCACTAGAGGTGAAGTTAACCCTGCAATGTAATTATTGCAGTTTCTCAAACCATTGCAGGTTTAAACTGACAGGGGCACTGTACCCAGACCACTTCAATGAGCTGCAGTGGTCTGGGTGCCTATAGGGTCCATGTAAATAACATTATCTTTTGAAATGACCTATAATTCACTTTTTTCCGTTTTTAAAATGTATAATACTTTTAGAGCTATTGGGAATTACAAAAACAAACACTTTTGTAAAAGAATTTAACCTATACCTTTTTGCAACTTTTGGCCAATGATGAAGATTACCTCCTCTCTATTTCCCTATTACTTCTTCTGATGAGAAAGTCAACATCTTTAAAATTAACAAACTGATTTAAAGGGTAACGTAGAAAGTGCAATAAGAGAAACATTTGTGAAATAAATGGACTTTATAAAACACATAAATTTAAATCTTTAAACCTCCTATTAAAATCTTTTGATTGCAAAGGTGGTCAGTGAACTGCTTTACAGCATGTTGCATCCCGTCCTTGATTTTATTGTCAAATTGCAGATTATATTAATTGAACAGTAACATATTATGGCTTTATAGATCAGAGTTTTGTGTGCCAGTGCAAATTATTATTATTATTATTATTATTACAAGCCTGCAAATCCCTTACTATTAGGTTGATCTTCACACTCCTCATTTTGTGCAAAATGACAGCCTTGGATGATTGTACCTATGGTAGCAAAAATGTAGCCATAGGCATGCTTATAGCACCATCCCATAATGCACTGGGCTGGCCGTCACATACAGCTAGAGGGCGCAGGAAGGGTGAATCCTTTTATAAACCTACATAGCCTAGAGGTTAAAACATGTGTGACAGATCCCTGTGGCAATAATTATTAACCCCTTGATGCCCATCAGATTGCTCCAGATTTTTCATCTCTATATACTAAATTGTGCTTTCTTTTAAAGTCAGAATATGTGTCCATAATGAGCCACAAGCTCTTGCAAGAAAGTTTTTAGTGCATGTCAATGTCAAAGAGTAACATTTGATAATGTTTAACATAAAAATAGAAAACAAGTCATGATTACAGTTTTCCCAGAGGGTATCAGAAATATGCCTAACTACTGTAACTACGTCTATTGTATGTACTTGAGACAAAATAAGAGTTTTAAATATTTTATTTTTATTTTGTGACTCTATTAAACACCCTAACTTTTAATCACTTTAATGATACAGTATAGCATTTAGTTATTTAATTTAATTTAAGTTCTTAATGCATTCTAACAAGTAAAAATGTTTTCATAGCATAACAAAATGAACATTAAGCCGGTGTCATGTCAAATATGATACAAACATTTTAAGCTTAAAATCCATGCAGATCTTTTTTATTTTTTCTATTAATTTTTTTGGTAGTTATGCTTATGTTTGTTCTTTTATTTTATTTTTTATAATTCTTTATTTTTGATGTGCATAGGACTATCAGACAATCAGGCAATGCCACAACAGCAATAGCATAGATAACAAATCATAACAATTGTGATAGCTTAGTGGCATTTGAGATTACTGCACATTTTTTTTAGGAGAGAATATTCAGGCACAGAAAAAATTGTATACATTATGATTGCAAAGGAATATATTAAATGGTGCTGGTGACTAATGTATGCACCAAAAAAACAATTAATTACAAGCAGAAATGGCACTATTACAAAACTTTTTACCTCTTTAAATAAATAAATTAGTTAGCAGCACCTTATCAGTGTATTCAGCTCTTTTTACCAACTAACAATCTAAAATCAGAAAAAATAAAGTGCGCTGTGCCTTTAAATCATGATTTTTTAAAATTTTTGTGCAATGTATACTTAAAAGTGCTTAACAGCAAAAAAGTGTTTTTGCAATACTGTGAAAACACATTAACCTGTGTTTAAGTGCAAAAAACAATGTGTGCAAACCCACACTATTTTTTTTAAAAAGAGAGATTTCTCTGACAGTGCTTATAGTGTCAGTGCACTCCAAGTTTTGACAAAGACAAATATTATACTTGCATTACGCAGAGTTCCACATGAAAGAGAAAGAAATAGAGAAACATAGCATAATATCGTCTGGATAATAAATAATATTGTAAAACCAGATATGTCTAACACACTCACAATCGTGGGGCAGGTACAAGACTGCTCAGTCTATATGCGCTCTCAATATGTCTCCTCCTTTGTTAACAGGAAAACGATGGATAGTCGAGATCAAAATATAAATACACTTTATTCCATAAAAGCAGAGACATGTCCCGTAAGAAACTTAAAAAAAATTAAATAAATATTTTTGTAGTGCATTTAGTGAATACATACATGCCTTCAGTGCCCCGACAGCAGTCCTCTGGCTTATTACATGTGTTACAATCAGGGTGTTTGCAGGAACATGCACATTTTTTAAGATAATGAAATTAACACTTAGATGATGTTGCTTAAATGGGTAGAAACATAGGTTAAGCTAAGCTTGTCATGCATCAGGCTAGGTCTATGCAGGTTACATTTGTGCTTATAGATTACTGTAGTCTGGGGCTGCAGCTGCTGTGCGTTAGCATTGGTACCTCATAACTAGTAACTAACTAAACAGTGCTAAAACATAGGTAAGACGTGGTAAAGTAATGCTTAATATTCTACTTTTGAGGACTATTAAAACAAGGCCTCTGGGCTGTCCAGCTGCAGTGGTTGCCTGTTACTGGAACGGAGAGCGTTTGTGGGCCTGTGGTATTGCCCCTGTCAGCCAACGCCTTCTGTTGGGATATTGTCAGCACTCGTTGGAGGTCCTCTGGGAGCCGCTGGTGTGAGGGTGCCCTTGAGGGTGACCTTTTTGCCCCAGGTCGGTATGAGGTCCTGCATCCGTCGACCTCTAACTCGGTACTTGCCATAGTCCGAGTTTCTTCCCCGCATAGGGGTAACGGAGGGTCTGGTGGTTCGCTGGTGTTTGTGCTGCCGTGGCCTCCATTTGTGTGGTCAATGCTGTTGGGTGTTCCCCAGTTTGACCTTCAACCCGTGTGGGCTCTGTGGCTTGGTGGTGAGTGGGGACGCTGTCGCTGTGCCCAAGGACTTTTCCCTCATCTCCCTCTGCCCTCGGCTCTGCTCATTCTTGTTCCA